ATATTTTGCCACGTTCCAGTTGTACAAGTGTTGCTCTTAAAAGCGCGAAAGAGCTTATGTGTGTGTGCAGCACGATCACGCAGTCAGAAGCATGCAGCCGGTCAGCATTCACTCTCATTCACACACTGAGACGAGCAGAGGAGCGCAGACATCTAAACTCATCTTAACGTGAGCGCTTTAATGGTCAAATAGGTGTCAAAATGCGGTGTTTAGTGATTATTTACATTAACCCTCATTTGTGTAATAAACAATTGTTTAAACGAGTTGAGGATCAAAAGACGTGAAAGACAAACCATTAAAGAGACAGCGCGCTATAATCCTTCTGCCGGCTGTTTTTATCATTATTAAACAAACATAACGAGAAAACCCTCGCTGCTCTTGACTGAAGGACTGCTGTAGCTAAAGTGTTTTTCTTACAGTGAAGATGCATAAAGCACAGTTTGTTTGATATTTTTATTTTATTGTATTTATTTCTCTTTCCTTTGCAGGGTGGAAAATAACTGTATGTATACAGTTGAAGTCAGAATTATTAGCCCTCTTGAACATTAGCAAACCTTTTCCTGCCCAATTTCTGTTTCATGGAAAGAATATTTTTGAACCACACTGTTCCAGTTACTGAACCACACTGTTCCAGTTACTATGACCATTTATGTGAAGCTGCTTTGACACAATCTACATTGTAAAAGCGCTATACAAATAAAAAGCTGAATTGAATATTTTATTAACTTATTTCTGAACATAATAGTTTTGATATCTCATTTCTAATTACTGATTTCTTTTTGTCTTTGCTATAATGACAGCACATAATATTTTACTATTTTTCAAAATACAAGCATTCAGATTAAAGTGCAGTTCAAAGGCTTAATTAGAGTAACAAGGCAAGTCATTATAATGGTAGTTTATTCTGCAGACAATCAAAAATATATATTGCTTAAGGGGGCTAATAATATTGACCTTAAATTGGTTTCAAAATATTTAAACCTTTCTTTATTCTAGCTAAAATAAAACAAATAGAAGAAAAAAATATTATAGGAAATACTGTTAAAATTCCTTGCTCTGTTAAACATAATTTGGGAAATATTTCAAAAAAATAAAATCTCAGGAGCGCTAATAATTTTGACTTTAACTGGCAATGGTTTTGAATAATCGTGATTACCATTATGACCAAAATAATTGTGATTATGATTTTTCCCAAAATCGAGCAGCCCTACTATTATATATGTATTTTTAAGTACCAAAAAAAAAAATCTAAACACATGCTTAAAATTCCAACATAATAGTGAAAAAAATTAAAATAAATAACTTTAAATAATTATTTAAATTTTGCTCACTCGCGCAATCTGCTTGTCAACGTGTCATAAAGGCAAAACAAAAATTTTTCTTGTTTTGTGAAAAAATGATTCTTCAGAGGCGAAGAAAAAGATTAGACAGTATGACAAAGCCTACCTAGATTTTGGTTTTATTGAAGGCCAAGACAAGTTAAAACTGATTAATTAATATTTTCTATGCATATTACTAGGGATGTAACGGTATCAGAATATCACGGTACGGTAATACCGCGGTATGAATGTCACGGTACGGTATTTATTGAATCATTTACAGGAAAAAACAAAACTTATGAAAATACTCCAAAAAAGTGCCAAAAGTGTCAATGACATACAAATTAGCCATCTATCTGTAAGCTTTGAAACAGGAACTTCAATTTTAATAACAAAAAATTATTAAACCATGTAAAAAAATAAAGTTTCAATTTAGTATTGTTGAAAACTCATCACATTCAACATTTAATCACACTCAGCCCATCTACCCAGATGAGAGCTCTGCTAGTCGGACTTCTCATCAAGCATCTCCCGCTGGATCTAATCTCACTATATTTATTAAACGGGATATTTCATTTATCTTGTTGTCTTTATCTAACGACATATTCCCTGACTTTGGGCATTGGAATCTATTACTTGTTCTCAGGTAACGTGTTTTGGCTGAGCGCAAAGATAAGTTAATGATTAATGTAACCACGTACATTCTGTATATTGACTGATCGCTTGCCTTTATTTCCGATAATGTATAAACTTATTGTATGTTATACTTTTAAAATGGCCATTATTGATTCTTAAAACTGATACTCAGCAAAAGAGAGGCTGTGTTTCGTATTTTCACTGAAATTGAACGGAGGCAGTTGTTATCGGCTCCGTTTTGTTATAAATATCCACACAGTGAAGATGACGCTCATCTTATGCAGCACGACGCCTCAACATTTCTGCTGTCTAAGTTGCTAATATTAAAATGAAAATAGGCAGTTCCTTAAATCATGTTTACATTTTATTGTTGAGAAAGTGAAACAACGAAGCCAGGGTGATGTGAATGAAGTTATAAAGTACACTGTTCCCTTTGAAGATTTACCCGTGTCCTCGGTATAGTCTGCTTTTCCATATCAAACTGAGAAGAAGAGACTGCAGCCTTGATCAAACTTGTGAAGTCTGAACTTACACGGAGAGAATGCAGGGCTGAACTGTGCGTGTTAGGCTACTTAATATTCAGGAAAAGCCCCAATCAGAGAGGCGAACGTCTGCAGCCCCGCCTCCGTTTTCAAATGTCTCCGTTTTCCATCATCCACACTGAGACGGAGCAGCAGCGTTTCGAAAACGGCTGAAAATGAAAACGGCCTCTCCAGCGTTTTCGAAACGCTCCGTTTTCGGCGCTCAAGAACTCCGGCGTAGTGTGGACGGTTGGCGTAACCGTAGCAAAACTTATGCGTTTTCAAACTAAAACGCATTAGTGTAAACGGGGCCTTAGAGTTTTCCAGCTCTTTTCATACCCGCTTCTAGCAGCACACTCCATTTCCGCATTACTGGATCTGTAGCGACAACAGACCGCGAGGGATGATGGTCAAGCATGGGCTGATGGGAGTTGTAGTTTTCGCTACCTCCCGTTCGCTTCATTTGTCTGAGCAAATTTTCTCAGAAGACCTATAGTTTAAAATTTATATTGCGGTATGACGGTATTTACAATACCGTTACATCCCTACATATTACTATATATTAATATTACACAAACACACACACACACACACACACACACACACACACACATATATATATATATATATATATATATATATATATATATATATATATATATATATACAGTACATATGTGTGTGCATGCGTGTGTATTCATATGGTGGGGGGGTTCCAATGTTTGTATATGTTCATGGGGGGGGCCCCAAAGAAAAAGGTTGGGAATCACTGCTATAGGCTATAGCCTATGCCATGCAACTCTACAATTTTGCTTTTGACCTAGATTTCGTGTCAAAGCACCACACATCCTGGCTATATGGATATAGGTAATTACTATTAGCTAATTATTATTATTATTATTATCATTAGGCTATTTTTATTATTATTCATTAGCGGACGTAATGCTTTTTTAAACAAGCAGATTTTTTTCTTTCTCTACATGCCTGTGAAAAAGAAAATTAACAGAGAAAATAAACAGACGATAAATAATATGCAGCTCACTTTGCGTGCGGATATGCCTATTTATTGAATTAATTTATTCAAACATGAGAGTCTTTTACATGAAGTGGCAGTTGGTCAAATATTTGTAACATAGTCTGTAATAAATAATAAATAGCCTACTGATAAAGTAAGTTCAGGTGATCACAAGTTCACAATCAGGTGATGTGCTCCACCGGCACGATAATCTTAATATTATTTTGCTGTTTTCCATATGCGTACGTTTAAGATTTGAGGTAATAACATCGCCATGATGGTCAAAGAAATCAAAACATTATTTTCACCCAAACACAATTTAATAGGGCAATAAAGGCTAAAGAACTTAATTCTTATATTTGCTTTTTGCAGCCTATGACTTCTGACCATGTATCTTTTCTAAAGCATTCAGTATAGTGTAAGAGCATGTTTATTACTAAGAAAACTAAATCAAAATTATATTTTAATTGAATTCATCACATCACATACAGTAAGCTACTACGCCTACAGTCTGTTTAGTATTGTGAAAAGGCAAAGCTGAATACCTTTGGTTAAAGTGCCACCCAGCGGTCAAAAGCTATTAGCGCACCACTTACCGCTGTCGCCGCGGTATGAATGGCGGCAAAAGGAAGACATTAAAGTAGTAACATCTGTATAAGCAAACAGAAACAAACATATAAAACATATAAGTATTTTTATCAAAATGCCTAGTGCATTAAGACAGGAGGAGTGTGTCCTACAGGTGGTTTGTCAAGCCCATTCACCAGCATGGAGCACACTCATCCATCACACCGTTATGTGTGCATTATGCTTATGCGTTACTAAAAGGATAGGTCTATAATCTAGTTTTGAACTGAGAAAGTGTGTCTGAGACATTATCAGGTCAGTTATTGCAGAATTTAGGAGCCATAAATGAGAAGGCTTGACCAGTACAGACCAGAGTACAGACTCTTCAGTAGACTTTGCTATTCTGGGTACTATCAGAAGCCTTGAGTTTTGAGATCTCATCAATGACATCAACACATTTCAGCCAACATATTCACACTACTTCAAATCTCAGACACAATATGGAATCACGCTGTTTATCTTGGTGCGTTCTCTAGCTTGTGATTGTCTATTTACATTTCTACATGCTTCTGTTACAGCTCCCTGGTTCATAGTTAACATGGAAGTATTACTCTGCCGGATGGGTGATATGCATCCCATATAGTGATTTTAAGTTGCTGCTTGAGCATCTTGTTCTGCTTCAATGCTGTGCATGATGGATGCTGCTGTTTTGCTTAAACTCTTTTTGTTTGCTTAAACCTTTTTTTGTTTGTTTTAGAGGTTTTAAGTAATTTTTAAAAAGCTGGTAGCAAAAAGAAAATCTTTTATCACTAAAGTTATTGTGTTTTGACAAAGAAAGAAATCAATGCAAAGAAACAAAGAAATCCATGTGGTATAAAATAACTGAATGACCAACGAATAGCATAACCAACAATACATAAAACACAGATAAGCGAGGAAATATAAAATTTAGGTAATTAAGTTTACTGAAACAACATATCAAAACTCATTTCAGCACCGCAGCAGATTAACTGCTTTGTCAAAATGATGGCTGAAACACTATGTGGCGTCACATCAAACCTATGGATAGGGGTGTTTTCAACCACAGCATTAGAGTTCTCTAAGCAGTGACCATGTTGTAAATCTCTTTAAACAAACACGCCTCTTTCAACTCATCAGACAGAAAGTTTACTTCAAAACCTGTTGTGTGTTTGGGGGTACTAGAGGAAGCTGGATAACTTGCCATGTGCTATAACCAAGAATTTAGCAAAGTGGACCATGTATTTTCTTTATCTGTATTTAGAGAAATCTGCTAAAATGTAATTGTTCTGTTTGTAAATACTATAAAATATACTAGGATTTTTCTAATTTCCAAAAAAACTAAGAAAAGAGCTCTCTCACATATAATTTTCATATTGTTCATATATGCCTGTTTTACCAACAACTGCAATAATATAACTGTACCTATATCAATATCAACTTGTATTTAAACCTAAATACAGATGCAATCAAGATTTTGTAAACTCTTTGTAAATCTTCTTTGTGTGTGTGTGTGTGTGTGTGTGTGTGTGTCAGTCAAAATCTGGAAATTAAAATGAAAAATAAAAACAAATGTATTGACCTGGCTTATTCTTTACTGGGTAAGTGTCTGTAGAATAATCTCTATTTGTCTCTCTTTCTTTGGGAGAGAGAGGGAGAATAATTGGTCACAAAAAAAGTAAAACTATTTATTTTTGTTTTCTCTTCCCATGATGGCTTTTTTAGTGTTTCTCTCCGGATGTAAAATGATTATGTAACACTTTGGGGCAAATATGGCCACCAGCACTCCAAAACTAGAAGCTAAGATAGCAAATATCTCCATAGCCACTGCATATTTCCCTGATGAGCTCATATATGCTGGAACAAATGCAACCCATACCGCACAGAAGATCAGCATACTAAAAGTGATAAACTTTGCCTCATTAAAATTATCTGGAAGATTTCTAGCCAGAAAGGCTAGTAGGAAGCTTATTGCTGCCAACAATCCTATATATCCCAGCAGCAAAGAAAACCCAGCCAATGAGCCAATGGCACATTCATAGACTATTTTAGAGCGGATAGACTGGTTATTTTTATAGGGTGTTGGAGAAGAAGTTGATAGCCAGACTGCACATATTACAATTTGGAGGGCTGTTAGGACCAGAACTGTGCATCTTTGTTGTGCTGTTCCAAACCATTTCATTGCTCCTGAGCCCTCAGGCCGAGAGGATTTGAACACAGCTATTACCACCATAGTCTTGACCAAAATGCTGGAGATGCACAGGACAAAGCTTATGCCAAACACAGCATGTCTTAATTGACACGTCCACAACTGGGGCTGACCAATGAACAGCAGCACACACAGGAAACACAGTTTGAGTGACAAAAGCAGCAGGAAGCTGAGCTCTGAATTGTTGGCACGTACTATAGGAGTGTTACGGTGAAAAGTAAAAATTATCATCACAAGAGCACAAAAACAGGTTCCCAGCAGGGAAGTAGTGGTCAGCGAGATGCCCAGAGGATCCTCATATGATAGAAAATCAATTTCTTTAGGAACACATTGATCCTTATTTAGATTGGACCAAAATTCATCTGGACAAACTGTGCACTTAATAGCATCTGTTGGTACAAAATTAATTCATTTTCTCTTTTTTTAATTCACTCTTTTATTTCTAAAATACAATTTTGTATACAATAATTTTCTCACCTGTTGTGTTAGAAATTTCACCATCTCCACAAATCAGGCAGTCAAAACAGCAGACAGGAAGGCCCTTCCTCATGGCTCTTCTGGTGCCTGGGAGACAGCTCTCACTGCACACAGACTGTGGGGGCTGAAAGTAACATCATGTGTAATTAGTCATGCCTGTCGTCTCTTTCTCATGACAAACTTAGATTTTCTATATGTTTGTTCTTTTTTAAAAGCTTTGACTAGTATTTCAATTTAAGTTTACTTTTTGTGCCTCAAAGTTCCAGTAAATTTCATCATTATTCAGTGTGAGCACCATTTCTGTTGCCACCTCATTTACTACACCGATATTGTGAAGTTTAATTGATTCTTCAGAGCTCGGCTGCCAGTTCAACACATCATAGATGGCTAGAGCATCTCCATTATTGTCAAATGATACAGAATCCCCAAAGCTTGTGGTGAAATTCACTTTTTTTAGGTAGTGAACAAGCTGTACAGATTGTAGACAGGACAAATGTTATACATATATCTGATTTAAATGAGCATAAGGTACATATTATGTGTGTGCTAACTTTTCTTCACTATACCTGTGGGTCTTACCTGCCAGGGTTTTAGATCTGTTATGTCAGCACAGCTGTTCCCACTGAATGGTCCTCTCTTCTCTTTACACTGCATCAGGTCATGAAGTGCATGGGCCAGGGCATAAACTGCTTTATACACATTATAAGTTGCCCTCAATCCTGAAACATCAGTGTAAGGTGTGTTTGCAGTGCTCAGATCCTCCAGTCCTGTACACACCTTTTTCATTTGTTGCCCAAATGTCTCTTTATCCCCAGTTTCAAAACTGCACCCAAACATGGTCTCCCAGAATATTCTCACTATATTATTTCTTTGGTCACTGTTGGGATGAAGGCGTAACAGAAAACTATGAAGACCCTGGATTTCTCCACGCCTAATAGCAATGCCCAATGTTCCCTTTAGAAAGGGCTGGTAATATGGTGTGCGGAACACAGCTGCGGTGACCCAGGCTTCACTTGCTATCCACTGCCTGCTTGTTAAGTTGTGCAACACTACCTTGTTCATCAAAGGAATCAATAAGGATGAAGCAGAAAAAACAACCACTACTCTAGCTGTAGAGGCCTGAATTACTCCCATAATGTGATCAATAACTCTGGGGTTGTTATCTTGGGGCAGGATTTCAGAAAAAGCAACACAGTGTCCAAACAACTGCATTTCTTGATGGAAGGACTGAGCAGCGTAGATACCATAGTCATTATTACTGTAGATCAGACCAACCCAGGTCCAGCCAAAATGTCTCAAGGTCTGAACTATAGCCCGCACTTGGAAGGTATCACTTGGAATTGTTCTGAAGAAAGAAGGGTACTTTTTCTTGTCACTTAAACAAGAGCAAGTGGCGTAGTAGCTTATCTAATTAGAAAATATATAGGGCAGAACAGATTAAGTGTTAGTCAGATGAGACAAAATAAGTATTTAGCTCTAAATCCACAGTTCAAAAAATAAAGATTTGGAAAAATTGTATTATGTTATTATCAATCATAAAGTAGATATAGCCAAATACAAAAAAAGCCAAATAAAATGTGATAAAAACAAATAAAAAAAGGTTGCAGAATAGACGCCCTCCCCGAAAAAAATCCCACAAGAATCTTTTTTAAGGTCCATACCATAGGCATTCGAAACAGCCCCAGAACACTGGAAATTGCAATAGAATGTGTAGATCCTGGATCACCTATGAGTCCAATAACTGGTGGTGGGCCTTTACAGTTGAAGTCAGAGATGGTCTCCTCTGTCCCACTTATCAGAGCTGTTGCTGCCTGAAATGCCACTCTAAGCCTTAAACAAGTGTCATAGATCTGGTAACCAAGTGTGATGTTTGGCAGCAAGTTGGGATTGTGATTAATCTCACTGATGGCAAAAACCATTGTCAGTGCTTGCTGGAAGCTTTCCATATAGAAGCTGGAGAAGACCATATTTAATTCATTATCATTAACCACAAAAATACAATTAACATTAAAAGTACCAATTATATGTAAATAATCATATTAGTACTTTAACACACAACAACATTAGAAAATATTACAATCTATATTTAGCTGAAAAAATAGCAATAATAATTCTTATTTCCCAATTAATTATTATTTAGTAGCTGTGGTCCAGACTCACAGTTCACAGTTTGGTAGTTTTGGCTGCGTTCTGAAGCTTATCTCAGGGTATACTTTTAGGTATGTCTGAACATCAAACAAACCACCAATGACAAAGTCTCCATCCTGGTGCATCCCATTTATTGTAAAGTGTCCCTGTTGCTGACAGATACCTGTACTGGCCATCAAAGTTACACAGATATAGTAACAAGACAGAACCAAACAAAAAAGTAGTACTGCCCACATCTCTTTGTCTTTACCTGTGTGTGTCTCTCTTCACTCAGCTCACTGATTTATCAGTAAAGATTGTTTGGCACTATTTTTTTGGGGAGAGAGAGAGAGAGAGAGAGAGAGAGAGAGAGAGAGAGCACGTGGTGCAATTCCTCTCTGGAAATAACAACATAACTTTTGGCACTTTGTATTCCACCTCCCAAACATAAAACAGAGACTTTTACAATATTTTAACTATTATAAGTTGAATACATTAAAGTAAGTGGCTGTTTAACTGGGCGAAGAATAGAGTAAATGTTTAATAACACAAATTATGTGTATTTGACATAAATAAAGCAATACTCCAATTGCCATTTTTATTACCATCAGTCAGTGCTAGCAAAAAATCTATGTTTTGCTAGCACTTTTACATATTTAAATGTCTAATAAACCTAAAATGTATGTAATTTGTTTGAAAGCACCAAAAAATTATTATTTATTTATCTTGCTCAGTGTGACCCATTGTGGGAAAGCACATTTTAATTGAGCAGCTGTTCAACATGATCCTCTGAACATTCAAATCCTACGAGTGTAACTGTACACTCCAAGAGAACAACTCAGACTGATCACACCAGTATGATCATTAGAGTAGGGGAAAAAAAAATCGATGCATCATGATTCTTTTTCAATGATTCTGGATTGATTCTCAAAAGTTCAGAATTGATTCTGTTATCAAATTAGGTTTTGAGCCAGCATGGGCACAAGTTCCAAAGAGAAAAAATATGTCAGAGGCCGATAGACATCACAATGCTGAGCCAATTCATTCAATTCAAGTTTATTTGTATGTGTTGTCCTTGAGGTCCTTGATGGTTGGCATGGGTGGCTCTTCCCAGTTATTGGATCACACCAATGTAAATGATAACAGTGGTTATATAAGCAAACACAGATACAAACATATAAACAATATAAGTATTTTTATCAAAATGCCTAGTGGATTAAGACAGGAGGAGTGTGTCCTACAGGTGGTTTGTCAAGCCCATTCACCAGCATGGAGCACACTCATGCATCACACCGTTATGTGTGCATTATGTGTATGCGTTACTAAAAAGATAGGTCTTTAATCTAGTTTTGAACTGAGAAAGTGTGTCTGAGACATTATCAGGTCAGTTATTGCAGAATTTAGGAGCCATAAATGAGAAGGCTTGACCTTCTTCAGTAGACTTTGCTATTCTGGGTACAACCAGAAGCCTTGAGTTTGAGATCTCATCAATGACATCAACACATTTCAGCCAACATATTCACACTCCTTCAAATCTCAGACACATTATGGAATTGCGCTGTTTATCTTGGTGCGTTCTCTAGCTTGTGATTGTCTGTTTACATTTCTACATGCTTCTGTTACTGCTCTCTGGTTCATAATTAACATGGAAGTATTACTCTGCCGGATTGGTGATATGCATCCCATGTAGTGATTTTGGGTTGCTGCTTGAGTATCTTGTTCTGCTTCAATGCTGTGCATGCTGGATGCTGCTGTTTTGCTTGAACTCTTTTTTTTTTTTTTTTTTTTTTTTTGCTTAAACCTTTTTTGTTTTGCTTTAAAAATTCCCTTTTTAAAAAAAAAAAAAAGATCTTCTATGCAGTGTGTAACACAGCTCTGTTAATGAAAACATCCAGCTGAAATTTAAATCTGAAAGTGCACTGTGTTTACTCTGAATCATTTATAACAAATCATCTTGGGTTTAAACTGAATGCATGCTCAAATCGACATCAATATAAGACATCACCAAATACGAGGCGGGCGATCAGGTAAAACATGAACCAGCCCTTTCATTCAAACACCAGCGAAGTGCAGGAAGGAGATTGATCATAACTGAAGATGAGTAATCTGATTACTGTGAGATGGCCAGAGATGCTGCTGTGGGGAATACATGGTTGAACTTCATTTTCAAACAATACCACAGTATAGCCAAGCTAACCTTGCCATGTTTGTTCCTGTCATTTTTTTGATGATTAATACAATACAATGCCAGCCATTTGTTATAGGAAGATTCATCACCAAAGATAATCAATGTATGGGACTTTGCCACACATTGGCAGGGACTTGTCATTACAAAGTTTATGTGGAACGGTCTCTTCTTCCTCCGGATCTGTAAGTGTGGTTAAAATAGTTGCCTCATTGCTTTCTCTTGCTTGCAAAATATGTATTCAATTGTGTTTTGTAACTTGTAATCACTTAGCATTACTTGTACCATATCTCTGGTTAACTATTAATGGGGCTGTTCATATATCTTTTCTAAAACAGCTAGAAAATATGACAAAGTTGCATTTTTAACTGCTTTAAAGGGGTGGTCCAGAATGTAATTTTAAGGCTTGGTTGTGTTTATAAGATGCAAAACAATGTGTGCTTATGTTTCACTTGATGGAAATCGGGTAATTTTTTCATATATCTCACTTTGATTATACACAGCTACTCAGCTAACATGAAAACGACTGTCATATTTCCTAGCTCCTCTAAAAGACCCGCCCTTAAGTGACTCTGATTGGTCATCGTCATAATGTGCTACTATTGGCGGATTGGCTCCACGTCACACCTGTAAAAGCACGCGCTTTTCTGCTGTGTAAACATGCAGTCAAACTTGCGCCCACTCTCTAAAATAACATCTGACAACATCTGATCCACCTTGGTGCTGTGTGTCACTTGTTATAGGTTGTCTAGACTCTGTAGCATCCAGTTGGGTGGTTTTTGGGAGGCATATTTAACCACTATACACTTTACATTCTTGGTCCAATATGTACCTGCTATGTGTATATCAATAACGCTGATATGATTTATAAAACACAATCTGTAGTTGGCAAATATATTGAGTAGATATGTTTGTAAATCTGACATTGAAAGAGTTCCCCACTTCCCTGCTGCCGACCGCCATAACAGACGAAGAGCTGCTCAGATGATCTAAACTCTGAGTGCGGTCCGGATAATATGCAAGACGTGAACTGGACAATAAAGAAAGAGCTGGGTCTGCCTCCTCCGAGGGCAGCTCTTGCAGGCTCACTACCTGGTATTAAAACGGAGTGGTAGGAACCTTGGGCACATATCGCCAGCCCAATTACAGGCATGAGTCACTGACCGAAAAAATGCCTCCGGGTCCCCTACCCTCTAATCGATATCAACGCAACCAGCAGAGCTGTCTTCAGGGACAGAAAGATACTGAGTCGAGGATCGAAGGTATCTGACGCGGCTCGTGTAACGAGGGCGAGATCCTAAGAGGGCATAAGAGGGGGCGGGTGGATTAATTTGCCTAGCGCCCCTGAGGAACCGGATGATGAGGTTATTCGTTCCCACGGTGCTGCCAGCCACCGCGTCATGAGAGCGGAGAAGGCAGCCACGTAACCCTGAGTGTGGAGGGCGACAGCCTGCTCTCCGGCTTCTCTCGGCGTAAAGAAAGCGCAACGCTGAACTGGCAAATTACGGGGGTCTTCTCTACGAGAGACGCACCATTCATTGAATAGACTCCACTTCAGGGCATAGGCGCGCTCGGGGAGGGGGCTCTAGCCCGAGTGACGGTATTAGCCACCGCAATCGGAGGTTACCTAAGTCTTCCTCGTGTCTAAGGACCTCCAAAGATCGGCGAGGGTGCCAGATGGTGCCCTGTTCCTAAGAGAGTATGTGCTCTCTCGAAGGGAACTGCCAGGGGAGGGCCATCGCGAGGAGGGATAGCTCTGACATCCAGGTTTGGTTGAGCCAGAGGGGCGCAACCAGCAACCTGTTCCTCATCCTCCCTGACCTTGCACAGTAACTGCGCAGGCAGGCTCACTGGGGGAAACGCGTATTTGCGCATGCCCTGAGGCCAGCTGTAAGCCAGTGCATCCGTGCCGAGAGCACTCGGTCAGGGAAAGAACAACTGGCAATGAGCGATCGCGGGGGAAGCAACAGATTGATCTGGGCTTCCCCGAATCGCGCCCATATCAGCTGAACAGACTCGGGGTGGAGTCTCCATTCTTCAGGACGTAAGGCTGCCGTAAGAGCGCATCGGCTGCACGGTTGAGCTTGCCTGAATCTGAATGGCGTGTAGCGATTTCAGCCGCGGATGACTCCAGAGGAGCAGACGGCGGGCGAGCTGAGACATGCGGCGAGAGCGCATACCCCCCATACGGTTGATATCCGCCGCCGTACTGTCCGTCCTGACCAGCACGTGTTGCCACTCCAGCAACGGAAAAAAATGGTGGAGAGCGAGAAACACTGCCAACAGCTCCAGGCGATATGCCAATGCAACTGGGTACCTTTCCACAGGCCCGCAGCCGCATGCCCGTGTTGAAAGCGTCTGTTGAAACGACAACAAGACTGGACGCCTGTCCTAGAGACACTCAGGCCTGTAGGAACGAGGGGTCGCTCCAAGGGCTGAGGGCGCAGGACACAGCGCAGTAACAGAGACTCGGTGTGCGCACGCGTGTCATGCGCGTCTGGGGACTTGATCGTGAAGCCAGTGCTGAAGTGGTCTCATATAGAGTAATGCGATCGGCATGAAGCGGATGCCATATGCCCCAGGAGCCTCTGACATAGTTTCAGTGGGACCACTATTTTACTGTCGAGCTCTGTCAGACAGTACAGCATCAGCTGAGCGCGCTCTCCGGAGAGGCGTGCTGCCATGGTGACTGAGTCCAGCTCCAGCCTGAGAGAAGAGATCCTCTGCAAGGGGGCGAGTTTGCTCTTTTCTCGGTTGACCTGAAACCCCAACAGGGGGAAGTGCCAGAGCACTTTGTCTCTGTGCATAATCAATTGCTCCGAGAGAGGGCAAAAATCAGCCAGTCGTCAAGAAAATTGAGTATGCGGATGCCCGCGAGCCAAAGGGGCGCTAAGGCACCCTCTGCAGGCTTGGTTAGGACCCGCGGAGCCAGAGAGCCCGGAGAGGAGGGCTTTGTTTTGCCAAGCTTGACCTTAAATTGCAAACCGCAGAAACTGACGGTGGCAAGGAAGAGTGGAGACATGGAAATACGCGTCCATCAGGTCTAATGCTGCAGACCAACCCAGAGGACAAACGCACCGGAGGATGCGCTTCTGTGTGAGCATTCTGATCGACAGCTTGTGTAGGCAGTGGTTCAAAATGCGCAGATCTAGGATTGGCCATGACCCACCTCTCTTTTTGGGCACAATGAAGTGTGGGCTGTAAAACCCGCTCTCCATCTCAGCTGGAGGGAGTGGCTCGATTGCATCCTTTGCCAGAAGGACAGCAATCTTTTCTCGCAAGACAGTGGCGGACAGGGGGCTGACCCTGGTGAATACACACCCGTGACTTGGGGGGCCGTTTCGCGAACTGAATCGCATAGCCGAGTCTGATTGTGCGTATGATCCACCGCGAAGAGCTGGCCCGCGCTAACCAGGCAGGCAAAGCTCTCGCTAATGGACTCATCACTACAATCGCTGACGTACCAGCAGTGGGGCAGCGCTGAGTGGATGTGCTGATCCGGGAAGCGTGCGGGTCCCACAGAAGAGCTGGAGGTGAGAGATTTGCTCTCACTCCGCACCCGAGCTCCGGAGGGGAGGCTCGAGGGGTGGGAGAAAGGAGACCGTCCTCCCAGCGCTCGTGAGCCACTGGCGAAATGCACCGAATCTGCAAGCTAGAAAGCATAGCGTCCCAGACTGGCAGATTTCGGGCTGTCACATCCGGGGAAGTGGAAAAGTGCTCTTTCATGATGTTTTCATGGCAGTAAAAAGTGAAGTAAGGAAATGGGGCCCCGCCCTCCAGCGGGAAAAGAGCAAGTTCCCTCTTCTCCAGATGGCCTGACCTAGGGATGCTTCGCGGTCTGTTGCAGGACTTAGCGGCGTTCTGGGCAGGGGGGCTGCCTGCTTCCGAGGTGCTCTGCGTGCTCGCTTCGCCAGAGGCGTGTGCGGGGGCGGTGCAGCTCTCGTAGGCGGGCACCTTCAGCGAGGAGCAGGTATGGATGGCACGGCGGGCTGAGGGGGCTTAGGGATCGGCGATAAAACATCACCCTTCAGACTGCTCTCTCACCGCCTCGAATTCTTGGGTGAATTCACAGACGGTGTCGCCGAACATGCCAGCTTGGGATATGGGGAAGTCAAGAAAGCGGACTTTGTCGACTTCGCACATATCAGCTGGAGGTGGCGCTCCTGGATCACTGGTGTGGACATCTTCCTCCACAACGCACACGCAGCGGACTTAGTAGTCCGAAGAGCTTAGTCGGCGGCGGTGCGAAGCTAATAAACCTGGGTTGGACCCACCCTCGTGCAGCTCGGCGCCTGCGATTGGTAGCGCAGGTAGGTGGCTATCGCATGCAAGGCGGAAGCAGCTTTGCCTGCAGCCTTGTAAGCTCTAGCTCCGAGGGAGGCAGATAACTTACAGGCTTTGGATGGAAGACGAGGCGGACCCCGCCAAGAAGAGGCGCCACGCGGATCAACCGCCATCGCGCACTCAACCTGAGGAATCGCCACATACCCCCTGGCCGTTCCACTGTCAAGAGTGGTGAGGGTGGAGGGACACGCAGCACGAGCAGAAAAAAGTGCCCTTCAAGACCGCGTGAGCCTACTGTGCACCTCCGGAAGAAGGGGACGCCCCTCTAGTCGGTCCGGCCGCGGAGCCGTTTGACAGCGCTCACCTGCCCGGAGGGGCCGAGCGGGTTTGGATCATCATCGGTCAATGAAAGCCTACCCTCCGATGCCACGGTGGACGTCTGGTCTCCGGTGTCATCAAACGTAAGGGCTACCATCTGTTAGACGGATCGCTTCCCCCGCACGAAGCTTGGATGGAGCTCTTGGAGAAGCGGGAGGTCCGCGGGCCCGTGGGTGACGGATTATCTCTCTCTGAAACCCTCAGATCTGCCCAAGTGCCCGCTGCAGAGCAGGGGGCAACTGGGGTGGTTTGCCCTTTTGCAAAGGCTAGCCGCGATCTTTACTGCGCAACAGTCATGGCATCACAATGACGACATGAACTGCCCGCGAGCAGCGCATAAACATGCTGGACCCCCCAGGCATGCAACGCAGTGCCCGTGCCCATCATCCGAGGACAGGAAACCACCAGAAACGCACAGTCGGAGCGCCGTCCTGAAAAGGACGTGCTGCACGACTGTGTTGCTCTTTCTGTGAAGTTTGCAACTTTATACGCACCGCTCTGGAGGACCGGACCCAAAGAACGCCAGGCAAGGGAGAAACCCAGCTCAACCGTCTGCCACTACGTGTACACACTCTGGACCGGGAGAATGCTCTCGTTCGCTCGGAATCGCTGGATCACAGAAGGAGGAACCCTCATCGACTCGATCAGAAAGTCTCTGAAGCGAAAAGGATGACGTTTGCTCGCTCCAGTGCAAGCTTACGCTGCCAATTCATTGCATTCATTGGCCCGTTCAATACTCTTTCAGACAAGCGGCTTCTGAACCGAATCTTTCCCATACGTGGATTTTCAATATCAAATCCACTGTATAGCACTGAAGTTCCCCAACTGAAGGGGAACGATGGTTACTTAAGTAA